GCCGGACAGGGACAGATGCTGCAGCCTTGATGCGGCAGTTAAGTTTGGGGGGGTCGAGAACTCCTGCGATCGAAGGAGAGCTTGTTAGTTGACCTTGTCTGATCCTAGAGGCTGGCTGCCTGCGCTCGTGCGGTGGGGTTTTTCCCCTTCAGACGGAACCGGCCCGGATCTGGACGCGCGTAAGTGGTTGAAGCGAGTGAGGGAGGCAAACCCCCAAGATATTACGGGCTGGGGGCGAGATTTGGCTGATAGAAGGGCGAGATTCTGGGTGAACTTGAACAGCAGGAATTATGCGGAAAAGCCTAAGCTGGGAGTAGACAAAAGGAAAAGAAGACAAAGAGGCGGTCGCCGTTGTTCCAAAGAGGACAGACACCAGTTAATCTTCCTTTTTGGCGACAGCGTGACCGACACCCACCAGCCAAGTTGTCCTCGGCTGAAGCAACCAAGCAATGTTTCCAGCGTTACCAGCGTTTAATTAAAACTTACCATACCTAGGCAGTACTTTATTTTCTGTACAAGCCAGGAATGATCCCTACTAATACTACTTACTGCTGCTGCTGCTAACTTACTAGATTCCCTCTAAATATAGGTAAGCACCACTTATGTCTGTCGAGCAAGTCATAGGGGGAGAACTCCTGTCTCGACAACTAGGGTAGTAATCTAGTTAGTTTCTCAGAGCTGCTGATACCATATGCTGATGCAATTGAGTAATTGAGTCTCTGTTCTCCTCAATATTATCACCTCTACTACTCTCCTGGACTTCTCAGTACTACCTCAGCCTAGCTTTGCTTCACATGGGAAAGCGGGAGCATTACACATACCGTACGTATAAATGGAGGATTAGATAACCACCAGTCGTTTAGTTACTACTAACTAGTTATGCCTTTTAAAAGGTCAAGTTCTGGTACAGTGTAATGAAGCCTGAAAAGAAGGGCAACGGTGGCCATTCCAATGACCCAATCAAGGCGTGCCAGCCACAGCCCGGCCCCCCTTGAGGAGCCTGGTTTCAGTATCCGATCGGCGTTTTGAAACGTAAGGTGGCCGACTAAGAATAGGAACCCTCGCCTCAATTCTGGTTCCGGGGTTCAATTTCATCTCCTGCCTGGGATTAGCTTCAATCCCTGCGGTGTTTACCGACCGTCTGAGCATCGTGTGTCTACCGTCTTGGCATGGCCTGTGATTGAACTCATCACACCAATCCACCCATTACTAGTAACTCAGTAGAAGTAGCTTATATTCTTCCCATCTTATCGGGATATTAGACCTGTCCAATCTCACCTGCATCAGTGCTCTGCTTTCCTAGATAATGTCGATCGTCTACCCAGTAGCACGGTCATCAACAAGAGCACGTTCCAGCGTCTTCCTTCCTTATCTAGCAAGCTGTCTCAGCTTTGGGACAATTTTCTTTTCATTAAGGAACCTTCTGTGTATCTATTACATTCTGATAAAGATTGCAACTCAGATCAAAGTAAAAAAAAAAATCTGTCATTTTGTAACTCCCAAGGAGATTAGACGCAGAGAAATTCAACTATCGCTATCCCGCCAGCGCGGAAGCTACCTGGATTCAACATGATAACAACGCCTTGCATCGAGTACAGTAGAGATGCGTATCCACTCCCAGACGCCACAAAAGACCTTCATCATGGTATCACTGACCAAAGAAGAATAACAAAAAACACAAGGGCAAGAATAATACTTGGAATAGTGGGAGGTATCAAGTACAAACCTAAGTTTTACACCCCGTATGTGGAGTGCCCAAGGCGATGCTGAAACATTGCCCCGGCCATACCAGTCCGGTGGGAGGAAACATGAGGGGGGGGAGTTATCGAAGTATCACGTACCTTATCTGGATTGCATGGCTGCAAAGTCTCCGCACTTCATTGACCGATGCCATCTTTCGGAAACATCATTAGTGACTCGTCACATATCAGGGCTGCCCAATGATCGTGAACGTCATATCAGACCAGCCCGGTCCCAATATGCTGGAATCGTTAGATAGAGCCTAAGCAAAGCTCGAATCCCAGGGAAGGAGGAGTTGTTTGTGTGCAAAAGGGCAAGGTGAATGGATGGTGTGGGTAGGAAAGAGAGATTTAGGACGACCGAGAACGTTTTGCATCCGGAGAAGGGGTTTCAGTGAACTCAAACTCATCCTCTGCTTCGCGATGACGTTTCGTTGGACCGCGACTTGGTGACTTGGCAAGATCTGCCTCATCGCCGGCAGCCAGTTCATCCTGGACTCCCAGATCCAAGTAGTCTTCATCGTCGAATGTCAACTCTTCGGCGTCATCGTGTGTGGCGGGTGCTTCTTCGGATTCATCGTGGATTTCTCCCGGCTCTTCGAGCTCGTCCGCATTAGTGTCCTCGGCGGCATGTCGATTGTCTTCCTTTCTGGGGCTCTTTAGCAGATCTTCCGCAGTACCTAGTGAGTCATCCTCCAAATCCTCGGCAGATTTGTTGGTGATCTCTGGGGTTTCCTGGGAGACACTATCCGGAACCGTTTCAGTCTGATTCGGTGCCTCTTCGCCTGGACCGCTACGGTGGATATCTCCGTCATCGTTCTCAAGGCCATGGAAGTCAGCGTCGACTGTGCCATCCTGGACTTGATCGCTGTCGTGAATATCCTGGAAATCGTCTGGTTCTTGCACATCCGTTGCCGTCGCATCGCCATCGAATTCCTCATCTGCTTCTCCGGGAATATCGGCAGCTTCGGCTGCGTCCGCATCTTCTTGATAGTCGTAGTGTTCAGTAGCATCTACATTAGTTTCCTCTTCCGGGCAGGCTTCTTCATCAGCAACTCCCGTGCCATAATGCTCAGTCTCATGCTCGTCATGATCATGATCATGATCGGCCAGACCGTCTGCTGAGTCAGGCAGGGGCTGTTGAGTCACCGTAGCAGTGGACTCTGACTGCTCTTCTGATTCATACGACTCGTTCAGCTCGTATTGATCAACAGACTCCACAGACTCGGGTTCGGCCTGATGAGCCTCATGGCGGTTGCTGTCCTGGTCATCATCGCCTTCCCGAACGTCACTTGAAGCGGGGCCAACTGCATCATCGTTATCTGAAGCTGCTTGATCATGGTCCTCATGGGCTTGGTCGCCATGCCCTTCTTGCTGTTGTTCAGCAGCGCCTGTCTGGAGCGTCGAATCGACATCAGGCTCGTAGTTGTCTTCGGAATCACTGTGAGCATCCTCTGCTTCAGAGGATTCCTGCTGAAGATCGTCCGGAATATCAACTTCTTGGTTCTCCTCGTAAACTTCCGCGGAGGCTGCCTCTGCTTCGCCGTAACCATCCCAGTAAACTTCCGACAGACCTTTCCCTTCGTTTGCAGCTATAGAGAGAGAGGATAGCTCTGCAGCAACTGTGGGCCTTGTGCTCAAGCTAAGATAGAGCGCTTCCGGCTCTTCCACCCCGTCATTGTGGCAAAGACGGAGGTACAAATCTACAATCTGATGTAGTGTGACCTTGTCAATGTGAAGTGAGTCCTATAGTCGTGGTTAGTATTTGCCTAATAGAAGGGATTCACGAGTGACAAACCTCGGTTAGTTGAATATTCAATGCCTCGACATCTACAACAAGAACCTCACTATCTCCGATATGTTCACGTAATACCTCACGGCACGAACCGAGCAGTTTGCCGAAAGAACCAAAAGCCAAGCTCTCATCCTCAAGAAAGAACGTCTCCGATGAGTCGCCTTCCCGAGGAGGGAACAGTGAGATTTCGTTGTCTTGATAATAGACTTTGACCGGATACAGGGGCGTGCGTTCCGTCGCCGGAGCTCCTCGCTCGACTAGGTGATCGACGTCTTGCGCCTCTGCAGAGCGGTCCTGAGTTCCTGTGACCTTAGTTTCCTCTTCATTATGTCCTGCTTCACCCCCCTGTGCCTCTGCCTCTACTTTCCCCTCCTCTCCTTCTCCTTCTTGGCCTTGTCCCTCATGCTCTTCTTCTACTGTACCCTCTAGCTTTTCAGCTGGATCCTTGTACGCATCAGCTGGAGGTTCAACGTCGCTGGGACCGCTCTCAAGGACCCGAGGCTGGTCGGCGTTATTAGCGGTCTCTTCCCGATCGTCTTGTTCCGCGACATGATGAGACTGTTGCTCCACCGTGTTGGTACCATCGAGGGGCTTTTTGATTTCGGTCGACTCGGCTGTGTCTATTTCGGGCTGCTGTGGGACATGCTCTTCTGGTTGGTCGATAGGTTGCTCAATATCTTGCGGGTGGTCATTATGTGCATCTGCATGACTTTGTTGTTCCGTCCGGGGCTCCTCTTGGAGTTCCTGCTCAGCGTTTTTCTTATCAACGGGCATCACAGCACTCTGTTCTGGCACTTGCGCTCCTTCTACCGCTTGGTTCTGAGCTTCGGATGATGTCGGCATTTCGTCTTGAGCTTCAGCAACAGGGGTATCGTTGTCTTCTTCGTAGTCGTCTTCGAGCATTTCCGCTTCATAAATACGTTCATTCTCGTCCTGCATTTCCACGGTGTAGTCGGCTCCGGTATAAGGTTCATCGGCATCAACCATAGTCGGCTCGGCAACATCATCGACCATATCCTCATCGGGAGCACCTTCGTGATCGTATTCGAAATATTCGTCCGCTACCATCATATCTTTGTCGGTAACGGAGGCCTGGTCTTCCATGATATCGATATCAATATCGAAGTCATCCACATGCCCTTGATAGGGGGAAGCCATCTCCATCTTATCGTCGGCCACAGAGATCTCCATGTTGGTAGGTGCAAGCGAAGAAGCGGTTATCATGTCATCGATATACGATCGGTGTTACAACAGAAGGACAGAGACGCGTCAAAAGTTTCCGCGTGGCGATCTCGGGGTGTGCCTGAAAGCAACCCAACAACAGATTTTGTGAGCTGCCTTTAACACTAGGGATGGATTCACCCGAGGACGGTGAAAAGTGCAACTGCGTCTGCGGTGACGACAGTTTGGTCCCTGAATAAGTTGTGGGGAAAGGTCAAGGGAAAAGGTTGACTTGTAAGGTGCAAATGGAGAGGTCGAGGCAAAGTGAAGCTTCTTGTGCTGCGGTAAGCGAGGGGGTAGCGCGGCGCACGGGCCAACGGGGACGAAGAGAACAGCAAGCGACTCCCCGTGGCTTCGACGTCAAGACACGCCTACCAGACATTCGTCCGTCGGGAGATTGCTGTCATCTGGACGAAAAGTTATCACTTCTTACTAGACATCTGACCTTCATCCACACAGCCATGGTTCGATCCCGGGTATTCGACTGTATCCTAGAGCTCTGCTAACAATCGCGCACAAACAACAGGTCGTCCTCGCAGCCTCCATATGCACCCGCGGGGGCAAGGCCGTACTTTCGCGCCAATTCCGTGAGATTGCTCGCTCAAGAATCGAGGCCTTGCTCGCTTCCTTCCCCAAACTGGCCGACTCCGGTACTCAGCATACGACCGTGGAGCAGGACAATGTCCGCTTCGTATACCAGCCTCTGGACGAGCTATACATCGTCCTGATTACGAACCGCCAGTCGAACATCTTGCAGGACATCGACAGTCTCCACCTTTTCGCCCAAGTCACCACCAGCATCTGTAAGAGCTTGGATGAGAGGGAGATTCTGCGCAATGCTTTTGAATTGCTTAGTGCCTACGATGAATTGGTGACTCTGGGGTACAGGGAGAATCTGTCCCTTACTCAGATCAAGACCTTCCTGGAAATGGAGAGTCACGAGGAGAGAATTCAGGAGATTATTGAAAGAGTATGTATACCCTCACCTGGGTATACTGTCAATGGATGGCTGACATTGCTGGGTATAGAACAAAGAACTCGAGGCCAGCGAGGAGCGCAAAAGGAAGGCGAAGCAGCTGGAGATGCAGCGGAAAGAGGCCGCCAAATCTGGCCGCTCTATGGCTCCCCGGGCGCCCTCCTACCCCGTCTATACTCCCCCCTCCCGGCCAGCTGTTCCCGATACCTACGACACCTATGAGGCAGAGAAGAAGAAGTCTTTCGCTAAGTGCGTGCATCCATCTTTATCTCTGCTCGCTGTCTCTAACATTTCCCTACTCCAGGCCGTTACCCACCCGCGGCAAGGGCATGCAACTTGGCAAGAAGTCCAAAACCACCGACATATACGAGAAAGTGCGCGGCGACCTTGGTCCTGAAGTTGAAGAGTCCAGCCCCTTGGTGACACCACAAGCCTCGACGCCGATCGCCGAAAAGGTGTCCTCCGCCCGTGCCTCGCTGTCAACGGACCGGGATCCTGTCCACATCACAATCGCAGAGACAATCTCTGCTACTCTTACACGTGAGGGTGCACTGAAATCCTTCGAGGTGAAGGGTGATCTGCAACTCCGAATCTCCGACCCAGCTTTCACCAAACTCAAGCTCGACCTCCACGCTAACCCCACGCATGGTGCGCAATTCCGCACCCACCCTAATGTCGACAAAGCCGTCTTCACAAACTCTTCCGCAATTCAATTGAAGGATACGTCCAAGAGGTTCCCGGCTAACAACTCCATTGGTGTGCTGCGCTGGCGTGTCGCAAGCTCTGGATCGGACAACGCCGATATCCTCCCCATCTCGTTCACCGTCTGGGTGAACAAGGGCTCCGACTCGACCACCGTTACCATCGAGTACGAACTGACTGGATCTGACACTCTGCGCGACGTCGTCGTCACTATCCCCTACGGCGCCACAGAACCGGCAGTGTCCAGCTTCGACGCCGTCTACGAAGTATCCGGAGACAGCCTGGATTGGAACATCGGAACCGTGGATGAGAGCAACGCATCTGGCAGCTTCGAGTTCGAGTCCACAGGCGACGGAGATGAGAACGAGTTCTTCCCCATGAACGTGCATTTCTCGAAGGCTAACCCCTTCGTCGAGGTCGACGTAAACGACATCACTCTCTTGGAGATGGAGGGCGAGAGCACTGGCTACTCCAAGGATGTGAAGAGCGTCGCCGAGGGATATGTCATCGAGTAGATTCTTTTGTTTCTCATGTCTCCGTTGCTTGGGTGTATAGAGTACTAATGACGTTCGGACTGCCCATTTGGGTTTCTGCGAGTTGTGTCTTATGCTTTTTGACCACGGTTCTTTTATTTGTTTTATTCTCCAATATAAGCCTCCTTTTTCTCTTTTACTTTCTATATGTATTCACTATAAGATTGCGCCATACATCGTCATCCATGCTGGTCCGTATCTAGCATTTCAGAGCGGTTGCTACATACCTTGGCAAACATAGTCCAGAAGAAGAATATCTCATGTGGAGTTATTGTAGGGTCCGGAATGATACCAAAGTGAGGCATAACTCTGATTCTCATTGGCATACCTCATAGATACTTTCCGGTCACAATAGCAGTAATCACGAGTACAGTCATTCTACTGTGTTCTGACCATGGGTGCGTATGTGTGCTGTGCACCCAAAGTGACAAAGATGCCTTCGTGGTGTTAATATCCTCCAGTTTCTTTATCGGACTGGTTGACAAACACTATGATGTATGTCGCAAAGAGTAGTACCTTGTTCGTTTCACGTGGGTAGTAAATGTTCTCTATCCAAATCACATGAGTTATATACACAAAGTTTCCCATTACGGGTGGTAAATATCAACATATCAATACAAAGACATGGTTCATATCTGTATCCCGTGCGAGAACACATAACCAACCCTCTCAGAACGTAGAAAATTGAATGCCGCGCAAGTTGGAAGCCAAGAGCTCTAGGCTAGACTCAACGCTAGGCTTCGGCCAAGAATGAGGCTGGGCTAAGCCTCCCAGTTCCTCTTTTTTGCGGTGAACAGTAACCTAGCGTTCTCCTCTTGAGAGGTGAATGAGAGTCGAGCACCGCTTCCTCCATGTACAGCGCTCAATTTAGAGATACGGATATCGATGACGTTTGCGCGAGGAAGGGTGCGATTAGCCCATGAGAACGAGGTTGCAAAGGGCCATTCCTGGCCGGTCCATGAGTGGAAATCGATTCCGAGGAGGCCCCGTCCGTCGCCGACGAAGCGTTCTATGCAATCCAGTGGGGGGAGGAAGCGGCGGCGAATGCCGCAGCCGACGTGGTTTGGGTCTATTTGGTAGTCAGGGCATTGTTTGAGGGAGGCTATGATGGCTGTTATATCTGATGGTGGCGCCGGTGGTTGTTCAGGTGTGGAGTCGGTGTCTGAGTCGAGGGTGAAGTCGGGATCGATTAAGGTCGAGCCGAGAAAGATGGTCTTTGTGCGAAGAGAGAAGAATCGGGTCATCTGTCCTAGGTGGAAGGCGTCGCAGGCACTGGAGTTGCCAAAGCCGTAGCGGCATTGGAAGGGACGCGCTTGGTTGATGGCTGGTGCGAGTGGTTGTCGTGGGACAAAGGGTTTGGGGGGCTCGGGGTCTTCCAAAGCGCCGTAGACCCTGAGGAAGTAGGCTTGGAGGTCGGTAATGGTGTTCAGGACACATTGTCGGCGGAAGTAGATCTCCTCTGGAATATGGTTAGCGTGCTTGACAATGGAGTGGAAAGGCGTGACGGGTTTGATGAGGATACCTTCTATACCGTTAGGCAGATAGCGCCAGGGGTGGGTAGGAGTAACCGGAGGCTCGACACCGTTTGCCCAAGTCTTCGAGCCAAGAACCAGTAGGGCATGGGACATCACTTTGTATATGACTGGCTCGTCCAGTATCCGCGCTACGAAGATGGTTTGCCGGATGCGATCCTCACTCAGCTTCAGTAAAGAAGAATCAAATTTGGAGGGTTGATATTTCCCTTTCCCATAAGCGTAACCGGCTCTCTTGAGAGATTCCCGGACGACATGCGGAGAGTTGAAGGCGTCCGCTAGCCCCAGTAGTCTTGCAATCAGAGACACAGGTAAAGACTTTAAGTCCGCATCAAATGAACACTTCTGTTCCTCTTCAAAGGAGTTGAAGGACAGGATCTCCAGAAACAATTTGATGGCATCCAACCCAAGCCTCGATGCGACATGTTTGCTCGGGAGAATCACGACAGGTAAATACCTCACTTCTGCATTCGGGCTGTTGGATGACGCAGCGTTCGCCGGTTCGTCATTCAAAAGCTTCTGATGCATCATTTTCTGCTGCATGAGTTGACGACCTTCGGAGAATTTATGCGGGTCAAGAAGGGCCCGAAAATACGGACTATTTTGTGTCAAATCATCGCTGGAGACTCGCCACCGACGATGGCGCGCCTCCGATTGTGTTGCAATATCAGATTCAGGATCGAAGTATTCAACGATCACGTCGCCGGTCTGCAAGATGACTTTGTAGGGAGCAGCCGACTCCTCTAAATCAGGCAATGAATGAGCCACGCCATTTGTCTGATGCGTGCCTTCCAAATGGCCTGTGGCTGCCTTTATGGACAAATCACCTATTCCAGAAGTTAAGCTCTCCTGTTGAGATTCCGGGGCACCTTCCGAGTCCATGATGAGCTGATCTTGTGCAGTTGGATTTGTTCGCGATATCCTTAGGGGAGGTTATAATAGGTGATCTCTCTCTCGGCACAATTGATGACAGCATTGGGGTATCTTGAACAAGCTCCTCGTAGCTTCGAAACAAGGTTCCGTGGAATCTGTACTCCTGCCAGAGGTAGGAAGTGGGATATCCGCCAGAGGTTAAGTTATCGTTTGGAGGCCACTGGCCGGAACAACTCTGGCATTATGACGCTATGTGCAGCCTTCTCATATCGAGAAGCCAAACATATTCTTCAAAGTATGATGGAAACAATATGTGTGCAAATAAGAGATGTGGATCGAAAGAAGTGGTGGTTGGATCGAAAGAATTGCCTCTTCGAGCCATATCGTCATGTGACCCACCGCGGGGATACTTCAAAGCCGTTTATTCTCCTCTCCTCATCTTAGTTTGGCACCTTCTTTTTCAGTTGTGGACTAGTTTCGTGCTAATCGAAAATAATATGTATAAAGCAATTTACTGTATCTGGAAGAAGCGAGTGGTATGATTCTTACTGCAATCGCCGTCGATGACCGACACTCACTGAAACGGAAGACATATAAATCCGAGCAGCAAACTATCTGGATAGTACCCGGCATACTGTCAGAACTACTATAGAGCACCATGCCAACCTACTAATACCTACTACTAGTAAGTAGCAAGTCACTCATGGGCCAATACATACAACTACACTAGTGATTATCTGGCAATGGAATTGGGCCTTTGATAATAACCAATTTGTCAACCCGAAAAAAAAAGGTTGTTGAAATGCTCAGTCTATTATACTATCTTGACCGCAAAAACGTGGCCCTCGAGTTCGAGTTCGGGCTAGATGTTATCATTCGTACCCACATACAGTCTGCTCAACCCAAAAAGGATCAAGATCATCGTAAGGGGCTCTTATAGCATCTCCCCAGATGCCTGGGGAGTGCTCGGCCGGCGTCGGTCCCGACCGCTGCAGGGAATGAGGCTACAATGAATTTAGAACCTGAGGGATTGGATCTAGAGTTCTAGACACCTTTCTAAATGGCGCCGTTGCAATTTAGCTCGGGCTGCTATATGCCCCGATCGGATGCTTACGTTTTAGTGGTCATTGCATTTGTATTTGGAATTCTTGTATTACCCGAGCCTGGTGATGCTAAAATCTGCTATGCTCTTTGGCTGTAGTCACAGATGGTTTCTGACCCCCTAATGTTGTACTCAGAAGATGGTAATAACAGAACATGACAGAACGAAATGGTTTTGACAGCGCTTAACTCCAGACCTCCCTTGTGCGATATTGTTGCTTTAAAAGACATAGTAGCGAAATAAATATGTATATGTGCGAACAGAATAGGTGATTAGTTATTCGAAATCAAAAGGAGAGATATGGCGTATGCTGTAAGGAATTTCCCAGCGGTGCCTCTTCACGGCAACGAGACGATAGGAATGTGCAAGATCTGACAACTTTTTGTGGTGTCGGATTTATGCATGATTCCATTTTCCTGGCTGGTTGCTTCGCGGAGTTTGAATGCCTTCCCAGCAGCATAGAATAGTTTTGCGGCGAGAGGGTTGAGGGATTCAAGTGGTATCGTGGTCTCAGGCAGAGGTGTCTCGTCCTCCTCTCCCATCTCCTCATCTTCCTCGCTGCCGTCGAGCGGCTGTCCACCTTGGCAGATGGGAGAGAACAGCGCAAAGTGTGGCAGCTCCTCGTCGTCATCCGACGAGTATGGGCTCAGCTGCTGCTGCTCATCGTTGTAACCAGAAAGGCCTGTCTCAAAGATGTCGCTTCTCTGCGAGGCAAGATGCCATGGTTCACCACAGAGGAATCCCACCACGAAATCTTGATTGGCACGGGCAGCAGCTATGCAGCTCTGACGGTAGTCGGGAGTAAAGGAAGTATCGGTCCTGGATGGCAAACAAAGTACTAGACCACGGGCCAGAAGAGGCGGGGGAGGAAGATCCTCAGGTATCGTAGATGGACTCAAAGTTCCAAACTCGAAGCCATGGCGCTCGAACTGAGGTGATTCCAAGGGATAATCGGCAGAATCTTCGGTATGCTGGGTGATTGTTTGGGTAAGGGAGATAGTCGAGGCCTTCCGTGGGGGCAGTCCCAGGCCACTTTGGTCGACGACATACTCCGTAAGATGTTGGGATTGTGCCGAGTCTTGATCGCTGTTGGATTGCTCATTTGCGAAACTGTCGGCGGTGATTTCAGTTCTGATGGTCTGCACAGCGTCTGCCACTGCCTCCCGAGCGGCAGCCTTCAAGGTCGGAATCAAGATGTCGGCTTCCTGGTTGTAAACAGCGGCCCCCGAAGCCCAGGCTGTCGACATGCCCGCCCATGATGCTGGCTTCACCACACCCCTAGTGTACTTCTTCCGTATCAAGTCGACCACCCCATTCCGTACTTCTCTCGATTCAGACTTCTGCCGACCGACAACGTCAACGGTGGAATTGAGAATCCGACCACTTTCCCAGATCAAAAAGCCATGCTTTCTAGCCAAAGTGGTCAATTGGCGAACCGTTTCCTCGGACCAGTCATCGATGATATCTGCGTGAACCTGAAGGATGCTGATATGGGGGCCGACCAAGGACGCGAGATGAAGGAGCGAGTCCGTGTTGGTAACCGTGTGAGAGGGAGACACACACACAGGCAGTCCGTAAGGCAGTTCGGACTTGGACTTGGCCAAAGTTCGTAGGTAGGACACAATGCGGTTGCCGGGGAAGGACGGACTGTCCGACGACGAAAACGTATCCATTGTGGTGAGAGACAAGGTTGACAAGCGACAAGAAAAGTGAGGGGGCGGAGGTTTAGGGGAAAGAAGAGAAGAGAGGGGAGGGAAGAGGGAAGGAAGAGAAAGAGGGAGAGTGGAGTGAGTGAAGAGATGAAAGGGTTGGGAAGAGGACGAGGGAAAGAACAGGTTAACTATGTCTGTGTGTGTGTGTGTGTCTCTTTTCTTTCTCTTCTTTGTTTCCCTCACTTTCTGGCTCAGGGAGCTTTCTTCCCGTTGAGCTACTGAGGTACACTAATTAGAATGGAGGTAAAATCCACTTCCAGTCCCTTGACTGGTCGACTCGGTCGAGACAAAATGATTGACAATTGAACACCGTCTCCACTTTTCCGACATTTAGCTCGACATGATCAGTCGACAGGGGTTGAGGGGGGGACCGGTTCGGATGCGGTTCGAAGGAGGAATCGGATCAAGCAGATCTCCATCCGTTTTTTCTTAAATTGAAAGTACAGTAAGAGGGGGAATCGAGAGAAAGAGAAATCTGCCGAACGGGAAGTCTGCTTTGCTCTACACTGATTTGTTTTTCTGGCACCAACATACTCCGTACACTCATTCATATATTTGGCTAATCAATTTATAGGCTGTTACTATTCCAATGAGAAAAATGAATGCACCTAAAATAAGTTGACTTCGACCTGAATTCAGTCAATGCAAATGAAGGCGGAAAAAAAGCATGAGTTAATGGGCGAGGAATGAATGTAAAGAACGAGCGAATGAATGCATGAATGAGAATGGGACATACCTTATCCCAAGCTTGGTCAAGTCGAGTCAACTAGACTCCATCGACAGACGGAGCCGCGCGACACGGGGAAACACCGAGGGACTCCCCACCGGCCGATACATTCTCTTACCGATCAGAGACTGACTTTGCGGCTGGAACGGAGGAAAACTGTATGCTAAAGTACCGCGCAGTACGGAGATGGCCAGTAACCAAACCGAGAAACCAGGGAAATAGTCATCAACAGAGAGGGAGTTGTGCATGAGTGAGAGGTAATCTATCTGTGAACCATGGCCACCATAAACCATGGAGCATTTTCACTTTCCAATCAAGCCGTTCAATTCATATTGCAAGTTTCTTTTTAGCTCCTCCACTTCTGATGATCTCCAAATGATTTCCATCCATGGAGATCGCCTTGACTTCTCGACAACTACTCCATACCCGGTTTCAACTTTCAAATCAAAAGTCTTCCCTCCGAAAAGGCATCAGTCCATCATCCATCTCGGCCCCCCCCTTCTCTTCCCTCTTCCCCCCTCCCCCTCCTCTCCCTTTTTCTCTTGGTTGCCCCATCTCTCTCTCTTTTCTCTTTTCCTCTCCAATTGTTCAAGTCAATCCTGTCCGGTTATTGGGCACAAGTGTAACCCACCAGAAAGACCTTGTCCTACTCATCCAGCCATGCCCAGTGCACGCCCAGTGCCCCGTCAACTTCATCCACTCCAGCTCCAGCCTCCATCCTTCCTTTTCCCCATACGGACAGGGGCGAACCCGCCTTGTCGGAACGAGCGATCCGGCACAGTGGAAATGTTACGCAACTTACGCCGCATACGCAGCGGGCGGGTCATTATCCAGCCCGTAATTTCGCCCTTCCCGGCAGAGGGGGACCACTTAGAAATCGTGATTACACTGGCTGTGTGTGTGGCGAAGGCAAGTACGAAAGTAAATATAGATAGATTTAAAATAGCAGTAGCTAGCTATTATGAGGAACACGGGATGCGATGTGGCCAGTAGCGCTTCACCAGATTGTGGAAATGGAGCATAATTTACTGCTGAACTTTTTCTGTTCGGGCGTTGAATTCGATTCGGCTGGGCGTTTAGTAACTCGAGTCCTCCCCATCCTCGCTTACTAGTGCTTTCTGCCCAGCGCTTACCCTCCCCATTCAACCGTCAACTACTATCTAGATAGTCTCTTGCTTGCCGATCTCATGTCCCAACTCTCAACGTCGTTAGTTGCTATTATACTTTTGGTTTCGGAACCTGCTCATAATGGCTCGTTTTGGCCAGACTTTGACCATCAGGCACGCCACACTGCTTGTTCGGATGACAGCCTCATTTCTCATATTCCGAAAAAGCCACCCAAAGCTCAGAGCTCTAGACGTACTGTGATACATCCGACTGTCGGGGGTCTTGTGATGCGTCCCAGATCCGCCCCAGTGTTCAGCTGCCATCGACGCTTTGACGACCCCCGATAGTAAAAGAGGCATGCTTTGGGAGGAGATCCGCTTGGAGACAGTTTCAGGCCGCCATGCTTTTGCCTCGGACGGCGAGTGACCAGTGCCCGGGATCCAAACTCCACAGACCGAGATATGATGGTACAGTGTACGGAGTAGTATTTTGCTCCCTCGCACACGCAGAGCCAAAACCCACTTAAACCCGTACTCTACTAGGCAAAAAGAGACATCCCGGATGGAGTCCCACCAAATACCACCAAAAACCGGATTGGTCTGTCATTGGTCGCATGAACCGGTAGGCAGGATTATTGACGATCAGGCCATCACTTGACGGATATCATGTAGATAGTGGGTGCGCAGTAGCTACTGCTAGACTACTGACACTGAAAGACAGCACCACAACAGTGACTCGGTACCGGCATCCGCGACTATCTTGTATGGGCTCATGTGATCGGGCAATTTACTCCGTAGATGCACTCCATATTGGATGGAGACCACCGTGGCTCCATTTTGCGCCCAGCTATGATCACTGCACCCATGCGTACGTGTTGACCACACAATCCAAGGAATGATATCTCATTGGGGTCATACATCTGATAAGCAACACAGTCCACAGTAGTGTCTTGGGCAAAGCGGTAGCCAGTCTTACCTACATTGTCGCAAGATTAGCCTCAGAAGTGCGAGAGTATTGCGGTAGCTTAGTGCTATACTTGGGGGTTATATTGCTGCATGCCGTCGCTAATTTGGCAGGAGCTCCATATTAAGTGTGAACCATAAACCTGCGTTTCTTTTTTGACCCAAAAACTGGGCGCCTTCCTTTTGTAGCCTCGTATCCGTAGTACTCTGTACTACCTTGCCCACTTAAACCCCTTCAGCCGTTCAGCTAGCCTCTTGTTTCGGTCAAGCGCCTGTCGCTGCCTTATAGATGCCTTGTATAGGCCTTAGGCACAAAAGTCCGTCCACTGCTTACTAAGATAGCCACTCAGGGGCAATTCCCAAAGAGGACTAGTGCCTTCCGCAGATTCCCGTTGTATCCCCGACGGCCTGAGGAAGCGCCTCCTCTTATGGTGAGCCACACGGTCGCTCTTTGTATAGAGGAGAGAAGAACTTATTGCTTTTTCAGTCACACAAACTTCACAGAATCGACCTTGCTGTGTTGTAGCAGTGCTGCTAGACTTTTGCGATTGTTGTGCTCTGTTGTTTCAGTGGTTCAGCGAATTTTTCCTTCGGAGCCTCGGACCCGTGATCCCTGCTCGATATTTTGAAGCTCACGCCACTTCTCCCTCAGCCATTTATAGCGGTTTGCACCACAACTGATCGCTATCCGTCCAACTACGACTCTCGCATTACATCCCTTACCTCCAGACTTTCGTCTCTTCCCTCCGTCCCTCGATTTCGCAACACGGTACTGGCTCTTTAGGCTTTTGCCTTGCGACGACCATGCCTGGCAGAACCCTTCCAGCTTTCACCCCGGCCGAGGTCGAGTCTCACAATGATGCCAACTCGTGCTATGTGACCCTGGGATCAAAGGTCTATGACGTTACTGACTTTGTCGCCGGTCATCCCGGTGGTGAAGAGTTGGTCCTCGAATATGCTGGCAAAGATGTGACGGAGATACTGCGCGATCCGGCATCCCACGCCCATTCGGATTCGGCATACGAAATTCTGGACGAATGTCTTGTTGGGTTTGTCTCGTCGGAACCCAACGGGAAGGCAGCAAATGGGTGCACCCCTCAATCAAAAGAACAGCAGGCGGTGTTTGCAACAACTGGCTTGTCTTGCGAAGAGGACCTGTCGGTAGAGACCGATCCTACCAAGGATTATCAGACACATAAGTTTTTGGATCTCAACAAGCCTCTTCTTCTCCAGCTGTGGAACAGCGGGTTCACCAAGGAGTTTTACCTGGATCAGATCCATCGCCCGCGTCATTACAAGGGTGGGGAGTCCGCGCCGCTCTTTGGAAACTTCCTTGAACCTTTGAGCAAGACAGCTTGGTATGTTGTTCCTATCATGTGGCTTCCTCCAGTCACATATGGGACTATCGTTGGTTTCTCTGGACTGGCGAATGTGCCGGCTGCCGCTGCTTATTGGGTCGGTGGTCTCTTCCTCTGGACCTTGATAGAGTATGTCATGCATAGGTTCTTGTTTCACATCGATAAGTATGACGCTCTGCCCCATTCATCTCTAATTGCTGGTGCTAATGCTTCGTAGGTGGCTTCCTGATAACCGCGTTGGTCTTACCCTTCACTTCCTGCTACATGGAATCCATCATTACCTACCCATGGACAAGTATCGGTTGGTCATGCCACCGACTCTATTTGTCGTCTTGGCCGCCCCATTTTGGAAGTTAGCGCACACGGTGTTCTTCTATAACTGGTATGCCGCTGTGACGGTCTTCTGTGGAGGTGTCTTCGGCTATGTCTGTTATGACATGACTCACTACTTCCTCCACCACCGCAAGTGAGTAAATCTATTCTCCAAGCTCTTCGTTCAATATTTGCTAACCGCTGATGTTCATCTATAGCCTCCCTTCCTACTACAAGGCGCTCAAGAAGTACCACCTCCAGCATCATTTCGCGGACTTCGACAATGGCTTTGGCGTCACTAGTCGCTTTTGGGACCGCGTCTTCGGCACTGAGCTTGAGATGCCGTCTTCCAAGAAGACCCAATGAACATACGTGACATCCTGATGCTTCATACTCTGGTTTCTCAGTGTTCCCCCATTATTTGCTCTCTATTCATATCTTTAATGTACGAAGTAATGTCGCCGACGCGTGTTTATTCTTACCCACGCTGACAATCCGGAGTTGGACTTCTTGTGTGAATCTTTTCATGTACATTGATTGTCATGGCCGGATGAAGAAAACTATACGTTATTCTTCCATGATATGTGACCATGACTCGTTGCTTTTGTGAAACCGTTATCTACTATTGTACAGAGTATATGGCCGCTTATAATATAATCTTTCTCCCATCTACACTATCGATGAAATGAGTTCAAGCCGGGGTACGGTTGAGTGCTAGATGACCCGTGGTTCATAGCCGTGTTAGTCGGCGCGAAAAAAAATATGAAAGGACAAAAGATAAGGAGGCAAAGACGCCAAGACCACGTGACGTGTCGGCATCCCACGCCATCGGAACATTGAGGTGGACAGTATCTTCACATCTCTTCACCTCACTCCTCAGCTACAGCACCACTCCTGTAGGGAATCCGCTTACCCCGACTCCTAATTATACGGCATCGAGAAGATCTATATTACAGTGTCAGAAACAACTTGCCGGCTTCCGGATTTGAAACAGAAGGGTTCGCTCAAGTCAAGCTTGATACGCCGTCACTCTCTAACCAAGCCAAAAGTGACCTCAATCCTTTCCGCGCAATCTTCGTTGCATTTGTTTTCTGTTCAGTTTAGCCCAGGAAAAGACAAATTGCAGCATATATACCAAGATGTCAGGTCTCGATGTTGAGGCTCTCCTCGAGTCTACAGCCGCTCCGCCATCTCAAGACCCTCCCCGTTCCCAGGACCGCGATGACCGCTCCTCCTCGAAAACTGACAGCAATGACCGCCGGGACCGCGATCGGTCACGAGAGAAGGACCGCAAGCGCAGGGACCGCAGCCGTGATCGACGTCGCTCGCGAGACATCGATGGAGATGAAGACATGAAGAGCCCGAAAAGCGAACATGGCAGTGCTAACGGAAGCCATAGAAGCAGAAAGAGGAGCAGGAGTCGTGATAGCGAACGCCGTCGGTCTCGTCGTGACCGTTACGGTGACGACTACCGCTCTGGTGGCGACTTCTACCGCGGTGGTGGACGGGCTCGCACTCGCTCTCGGTCGCCTTACGATGATCGCTATTACCGCCCCTCGGGCCGCTCCCGTCGCGATGAGCGAGATGAAGACAGACGCACTCGCCGTGAACGCAAACGAAGCCCGAGCCCGCGAAGCCGCGAGAGGACGCCAGAACCTACTGAGGATGAGCGTGACAGACGTACCATTTTCGTTCAGCAGCTTGCTGCGCGGTTGAGAACTAAGGAGCTGATTGCGTTCTTTGAGAAAGTCGGGCCTGTCAAGGAAGCCCAGATCGTCAAGGACCGTGTCAGTGGGCGGTCTAAAGGGTGAGTTAATCTCCTTCCCAGATGATAGGAGAGCTGTGTAACTGACTTTCACCAGTGTCGGTTATGTCGAGTTCAAAAGCGAAGACGCCGTTGCACCCGCTATCCAGCTTACCGGACAGAAACTTCTAGGAATTCCCATTATCGCGCAATTGACTGAAGCGGAAAAGAACCGCCAGGCCCGCAATCCTGAGGCCAGCAGCGGCAACAATCACGCTGCTCCATTTCACAGGTTGTACGTGGGTAACATTCATTTCAGCATCACTGAAAGTGACCTCCAGAACGTCTTTGAGCCTTTTGGCGAACTCGAATTTGTCCAGCTGCAAAAGGACGAGACTGGTCGCAGCAGGGGTTATGGATTTGTGCAGTAAGTTCTTCCCCGGCATACTCTACTCATAATATCAGTAAATGTTGCTAACACCGTGTATAGGTTCCGTGATCCAAACCAGGCTCGTGAGGCCTTGGAAAAGATGAATGGATTTGACCTTGCTGGTCGAGCAATTCGCGTTGGCCTTGGCAACGATAAGTTCACTCCTGACTCGAACGCACAACGCATGCAGAGCCAAGGTGCAAACCAACATAACTTCCAGGGCTCTCTTTTCTCGGGTCACGGAGGACGTGGTGTTCAAGCCGGCGGTACCAGCAGCTTCGACCGCGCTGGTGGCCGTGACTCCGAAAAGGGGGCCGGTGCTAGTGCATTGGACGATACGGATGTTGCCGGTGTAAATTTCAACAATTACAGTAGGGATGCATTGATGCGCAAGCTTGCAAGAACAGATGAACCAGCCGAGCCTGCTGCCGACGACCAGCAAAAGGTGCTCCGTCCCAAGACTGAGGCCAAGCCTCTGCCTGTTAACGTCAACATGGCAAGTCGGTGTGTTATGCTCCGCAACATGTTCGACCCCAACGAGTAAGTTGTCCTGTCATAGCGCTCTTGATCGGTATCTGGAAGCTAACAATCTCGCAGGGAGGAGGGCGAAGCTTGGATTAAGGAGCTGGAGGATGACGTTCGCGCTGAGTGCGAAGACAAATATGGCCATGTTGTTCACATTGCACTAGATCCCAACTCGCAAGGCGATATCTACCTGAAGTTCGACCGCGTCCAGGGTGGCGAGAACGCCATCAAGGGCCTGAACGGGCGTTTCTTTGGTGGTCGACAGATCACCGCCCAGCCCGTCGTCGATGCTGTCTACAGCAGTCTGTTCTCCCGAACCAAAGCGATCTAAAGTATAGGACATCGGCCCGCGCCTACCATGACCACATATGGGTAGGTATTACATCTAATTTGTCTCTCTTACCAGGTGCAATCTGTGACGGCCGGACCACACTTTGGCCTTTGAACTGTTGAGCGGTTGCTTCGGCATGGTGCTTGGCTTGGATGACACTGCCCCTGGTAGGTGCCAGTCTTCTTGACATCTTACCCTTTATGGTTGTCTATCAGGCCGAGAGCCTCGTGGAATGATCTTGTCTATAGGGATTTGTACATTGCGTTAGCGCCAAATAGTTTTTTTCCGTAACCTTGTTAATTGACAATTGTCGGTCATGAAAAGATTGTTGTAGTTTCAAGATCACTAATGACTTCATCATCTGAGTCCTTCACTGAAGTACTGCCAGTGTTTTGTAGATGCCACCATACATTTCCCGTTGCTCCCCTTTCTCAAATATGAGATTGTATAACATCTCATAGAACATTCCCAACACAACACCGTATAACAGGGACACTGGCCAATAATACGACACTACCTGCAAGTCCACATTGTATACTTCGCGTGTGGACTGATCTACAAAGTACTATACATACAAACCCTGACTGTACCTGATAAGTATAGTATATCGGGAGTCTGCTGATCCAGCACTTCCACTTTACTACTCAAAGGGACGCACGAAGCATTACTATCCTAACTACTTTGCTTACTCGGTTGATGAAACAGAACACATCATCTTTCTTACTCCGTCTTCGTATTCAGCCCGCATACCATACATCCTCTGACTCTTCTCATGCGCCTGCTTACGAACGGACATTGGCTTACCGCATTGAGTGGCTTAATCCAAGTCAATAAACAGCTCAACTACGCGACCATGGCCAGCCACGATCATTTCATCAGTGTGAAGAACCCAAATTTGACAGATAAGAATTATCGGATCAGACCGGGTAGTTCTCCAACTAATTGACGTGATGTGTTTATTCGGAGACCCAACTGGTAGCATCACATATACATGTATTCCTGCCGTCGTGCTGCTGCCACGTTTTCCTGCTTACTGGAGAGTTTCTGACCGCTATGATAGACTCATAACGGTAGCTAACAGCGAATGGATTTCTATGACGTTGATGAGATTCCTCTTGCGGTTGGAGTAGCTCGCTTAGTAGTAGGCATTTTCAATGCGTGTCTTGTTGTCAGATGTGTAGTTGACGGGCCTGGTTTTTCTGTAGTGAGACATTGATCGAGAGCGCATACGGTGGATGTTCTCATCCTATTCCAGGGATCCGTTTGTTTTCTTGAAAAAACGATGAGACGGTCTAGAATACCGCAAGTGAGATTTGTTTGTTCTCTTCCAGTCTGCTGCTCCAATGATGTAGTCGAATAGACGGAGACAAGACTCAAGCGTTGATTACTGGTGAGAGGAAAGGGGGAGAAGTTGGAGAGTTCCACTATTTCCCCCCTTTAGCAACAGAAAAGGTACCGAGTCTGTTGCCTGAAGTATAAGTCACAGGGTGCAGCAATACATTGCAGTTGAATTGCTGCGAGGGAGGGAGAGACAAAAAGAAGTAGAAGTAGTAGTAGTAAGTAGTAAGAAGTGCCGTTGTGTTTCTCCGCCGCGCTGATTGCTCGGCCCGCAAAATCAGCAGCCCCCGCGGATTTCCGATAAAAGGCAAAGAACCTTCTTCCTGCTTCGTGTCCGGCACCTCCCTTTGTGTGCTCGTGTTTTTCTACTTTGCTCTCCCAGACTTTTTTTTTCCATAGACATCATCCTACCAATGCTTCGGCCTTCATGATTGGGTCTCCCGCCAAGCGAGTCTCCGTCCAGGTCCGGACCCTGGCTGACAGTTATCGTGAGTTCGCCTCCTCCCCCAGATTTCTCTTATCTCCGCGCCTTTCTTGCGCCCAGCCAGATCGGCCTGGAGTTGCATGGTCGTCCTGCATTCGCGTCTCACCATCCCCCCTGGCTAACCTCCTCTTGTCTCCTCTCTAGTCTATATTATCTGGTCTCGGCATCGTCGTTACTCGACCAAGTATATTGTTCCTGACGATATCCGCCCCACCAAGCGTCGCGAGTTCCACGACTATTTCGTCACTCATCTGCCCTCGTCCTCGCTACATCCGGATCCCCGGGGTCCTTTGGCCCCCTTCCACAAACTCCCTCGTGCAGAGTCGGTCCCCCATACGGGCGAGATCTCGCATTCTCCGGCCGCATTCCAGCCCCTTGTCGACCGGGACACCACTGTCGTTCGCATCCCACTGCGGAGTGCCAAACACCACTTTGGTGCACACAGCTTACGAGGCACCCGGCCCTACAATGAAGATGCCTACCAGGCTGGTGTTATCGATATACCCGCCTTTGCGAAGCGTCCACCGGCGTCTTTGACGATCAAGAAGACTGGCACCATCCCTGTCCCCAGAGAGAGCCGCGGGGCCGACACCGCGAGCGGGGATCCGCAGGTCTTCTATTTCGGCGTCTTTGACGGCCATGGCGGAACGGAGTGCAGTACTTTCCTGAAGGACTGGCTTCATGAATATATTCAGGATACCGCGGCCGCCTTTGAATTACAGTCGAGTCTCCGACAAGGCTCAAGCGGCCAGTTCCCGCGGGGCGCGGATCCCTCATCCGGAGCGTTGCCAATAGTACAAGGCGGTAACTCTAAGCGTATCGGAGAATTAGAGAAGATCCTTGTGCAGAACTGGAAGACATTGGTTGGCGGCTATTTCAAGAGATTTGTTCCACCTCACTTCACACATGCCGGAAATCAGAACTCGACGACCGATGTGGATTCTGGCATGGGAGTCACCATTGAGGAGATCTTGGAGTATGCCTTTCTCCGGACTGATCTGGAGTTTGTTTCGGCACAAGCGGCTAAACGAGACGATGAATTTACAAAGGTCGGTCAACCAATGCATCAGGATGATATCCTGTATGGCCCAAGCCGCTCCCGATCGTTGAACATTGGCGGGGTCAATCGCTTCAAGGGAGGCAGCACGGCCAGTATTGCGCTCATCTCAACTCCGACGCCCGCGCCGTTTTGGCACCCCAATGCTCCATCTAGCCTGCTTGTATCGCATGTCGGAGATACCCGGATCCTCTTGTGTTCCACTTTGACCGGCCAAGCCATCCCGGTCACGTCCAACCATCACCCCTCGTCGCCTATTGAAGCTTCCCGGTTACGACGGTACGCTACCACGTTTGTGACAGACTCGTTTGGAGAAGAGCGGATGAGCGGGCTTGCCAACACTCGATCTTTTGGGGACGTCCAGTCCAAGCGCATCGGTGTCTCGGCAGAGCCAGAGATCCGTCGCATCGAGATGGGCCCAGCTGAGTACTCGTTCTTGGTGCTCATGTCGGACGGAGTCAGCGGCACACTCTTAGATCAAGAGGTCGTCGACATCGTCAAGGAAGCCAAGACCCCCGACCAGGGTGCTTCCGACGTGGTCAAATTTGCGACTGAGGTGACCCGTGAAGGAGACAATGCCACCTGCCTGGTAGTCCGATTAGGCGGGTGGGAGCGACGGCTAGAGGGAGGACTGGGAAGCTTGGGGACAAAGGAGTCTCGAGAGTGGCGTCGGCAAGAAGCGACAGATCCGCGCAGGTCACGGAGATGATAATGAAGATTTTTAACATTTGATAGAGAATATGCCTGTTTGTACATAGCTTATTTCTTCTGCTGCTCGTTTGGTTCGTGCTGTTCGAGAGAGCTTTGCATAGTTTACATCTGTACATACGCAGTCCTTGACAACTAATTTCTTTTGTTTTGTCTACACGCGCGCTACTTCAGAATGGGGTTTTGAGTAAAGAATTAGTTGCAGGTTGAATTCTAATTGATGTATGGGAAGGGTAGATCAGGGTCCACGGGCAACTCTTGGTCGGGACCGGCCCGGAAGAGGATGTAAGGCTGGCCGCAAACAGAGAACAGCTTCTCCTGACCACCCGTCTCTCTAAATCTTTCTCATCATCACTTGGCTCCTCTTGGAACTCGTTGTCGCACATTGACACTTACTTTCTGTAATCAACTGTCTTGATCAGTGCAATCGCACCACTCCCCGGATTGCGGCGGATGAATTAAGGTGACCGCATCGTGAGTGGCTCCTTCTTATCACCCCCCAACCTTATCGCCAAACCTCACACATGGCCATTTTCCTCTCCTGACCAACTTGGACAGACTGCCCTTCCACGCGCTGTTAAGATAGTTACAACTTCCCTTTTGTTGGCTCTGTGTACAGTGACATTAATCTCTGTTGTGGACTCGAATCCTGTGATCTTTGGCTTCTGGCACAGGCGCGTCGCAAAAAAAGCAGAAGGTACGTGTTCCACAAAGCTTTCAGGAGAATCTCCGGCGCCGTCATCTTCTCTCAACCCCATCTGAACTTGCCTTGACCTCGTGGTCCATTTCTAGTGAGACATTGTGAGATGTGCTAATGTTATTGTGTCCTCCTCTCTAGCCTTTCTACCCGACTGAGTTTTGCTGCTCCGATTGACTCGAAGCTTGCTTCGGACACGGTCCACTCGCCGTCCTCGTGGAACCCCTCGGATAGAGCTTCTCCTGCTTCCGTCAACTCCCCGTCGCCCAGGCGTTCTTTCCTCCGGAACCTCCTACAAACTACTTCTACTTCTGTTTCAACATTCATATTAATTTCGCCACAATGGGCCCCCGAACTAGATCACAGAAAGCCGCCGCTGAGCTGGAGGCAACCGACCCATCGCCCGCCGTTAACGGGACCTTGCAGGAGTCGCCAAAGAACGGTGCAGCAGTCACTGCTGATGGGGATGTGGAGGAAAACGTGTTTCTTTTTGCTCCGAACTTGATCGGTAAGAGCTCAGCGACACTATTGCAGTCTGACAACACCTAACTTGGATGGGTCTAGGATATGCGCGTGTTGTGTTGACGATGGCCTCCCTCTACTATATGCCTCTGCACCCGCGGACGTGCTCCCTCCTTTACAGCGTGTCGTGCCTATTGGATGCTCTGGATGGATATGCGGCGCGCTACTATAACCAGTCTACCACATTTGGTGCGGTGCTGGACATGGTGACGGATCGGTGCACGACCGCGTGTCTGCTGGTCTTCCTGAGCTCCGCCTGGCCACGGTGGGCCATTATCTTCCAGAGCTTGATCGCTTTGGACATGGCCAGTCACTACATGCATATGTACGCGACTCTGAGCATGGGAGGTTCCAGTCAGAGCCACAAGAAGGTGGAGGCTAGCCGCAGCTGGATCTTGTACCAGTATTACCACAGCAGGGTTCGTTGTTCCTTTGCGTCTCTTTCGTTCAACATGCTGACATGCGCCACAGACCGTTCTGTTTATCTGCTGCGCGCTGAATGAGCTGTTCTTCATTGGACTGTACCTGCTCTCTTTCTCTTCCCCCACCCTGTCTCCCTCCCTCCTGCAGCCTGTGAGCACTGCCAGCCCATGGAGTGCTGGGGCTCTGGAGATGGCGCGCGCCAACAAGATCGACAGCTTCTGGCCTTGGGTGATCACCGGCATTTCGGCTCCCGTCATGGCTCTGAAGCAGTTCATCAACGTTGTGCAGCTGGTCAAGGCGAGCAAGTGGCTGGTGGAGGGCGACATTGCTAGCCGCAAGGCCATGCGCAATGGCAAGAAGAACTAAGTCATGTTCTGACAGCTTGTGGCTGAAGTTGGCTTGTTCTAGCTACCAGTCAATTCGATAATGCCCGTTGGGCTACGCTCCCGGGATCTGGAGGAGTGATGTATGTTCCCCGACCGGGTCAGATATTTTCTGCATGGTTCTGGTGCTCTGGCTGTTCCGGACAGCTCAGAGTGGTCCAGGAGTCTCCCCATAATTACTCTTACCCCATGTCTCTCTTCATTTTTCTATTTCTTTTCTCTGGCTCGAGGATATCGGTCATGTCTTAGTATATGTGATGGGCGGGACTGCGGGCATATAAGGCTAGGTGTACAGACGTCTCAGGGCAAAAATGGGACGATATTGGAGGCGTGCTTTATTGATTCTCTACTTGCATGGCTTCTGTCTTTGTTTCAATGCTTTTTTCGTGTGATTAAATTGGCGCCGCCATCGTCGATAGCATTTTTAATCGGGACTACTAGAGTGGACACATTTACAGTGAGTCAATGTTAATAATAGCTGTAACTCCGGTGGTAAGCGTGGGTAAAAGTACATACGCCGCGCTAAACCGGGGGTGGACTAGGGCCGGCAGTGGCTCCGGTGTCGGCGCGGGGAGCCTCGCCAACTGCCCCGCCAGTCCGTATAAGTTGTAGTTTATACCTCGTTCTCCTCCGCTCAATCGTCCACTTTCCCCCGTGCCAGACTATTCTTTCACTCGCCCTCATCATGCCCGCCTACAACATTGTCGTTTTCGCCGGTGACCACTGCGGTCCCGAGGTGAGTCCGCGCTGAGCCTATACCCATGTACAGCTCCGGACAATCGACTGACCCAGTGCCAACGTCAATCTAGGTTACCGCCGAGGCCATCAAGGTTAGCAAACCATGCTCAGCTCCGAATTGAGCTTCTAGACTCCCTCAATGCTAACACTGCTTCACCACAGGTCCTCCGCGTCATCGAGAAGAGCCGCGATGACATCACCCTCAACCTCCAGGACCACCTGCTGGGCGGTGTACGTCCCAATCAAATCCTATGTATAACAGACCATAAAACGCTGACACTACAACTATACAGGCCTCCATTGACGCCACCGGCAACCCTCTGACCGACGAGGCCCTGACCGCGGCCAAGAACGCCGATGCCGTTCTCCTCGGTGCCATCGGTGGACCGGTACATTTTCCCCCCACCACCAACAACAACACGAACTAACCCAACCAAACAGAAATGGGGCACCGGCGCCGTCCGCCCGGAGCAAGGCCTTCTGAAGCTGCGCAAAGAAATGGGCACATTCGGCAACCTGCGCCCGTGCAACTTCGCCGCCCCTTCCCTGGTCGAGCACTCCCCCCTGAAAGCCTCGGTCTGCGAGGGCGTCGACTTTAACATCATCCGCGAATTGACGGGTGGAATCTACTTCGGAGACCGCAAGGAAGACGACGGCAGCGGCTACGCCATGGACACGGAGCCCTACTCTCGCGCCGAGATCGAGCGCATCACTCGCCTCGCCGCACACCTTGCCCTGCAGCACAACCCCCCTCTCCCCGTGTGGAGTCTGGATAAGGCCAATGTGCTGGCTACGAGTCGTCTGTGGAGAAAGACGGTCACTGAGGTCATGGCGAAGGAGTTCCCTCAGTTGAAGATTGAGCACCAGCTGATTGACTCGGCCGCTATGATTATGGTTAAGAACCCTCGCCAGTTGAACGGCATTATTGTTACGAGTAACCTGTTCGGTGATATCATTAGTGATGAGGCTAGTGTTATCCCTGGTTCTTTGGGTTTGTTGCCTAGTGCTAGTTTGAGTGGTATTCCCGATGGGAAGGGCCGCGTTAATGGTATTTATGAGCCTATTCATGGTATGTCCCCTCCCCCCCCCCACCACTTCTGAAATCTGCTAGGGTGGAAGTGCGGTTTACTAATTTAATCGCGTGCAGGCTCTGCTCCTGATATCGCCGGCAAGGGTATTGTCAACCCCGTTGCTGCTATTCTGTCCGTCGCTATGATGATGCAGTACTCTTTCGGTCGCTTCGATGAGGCCCGCGCTATTGAGGCTGCTGTTCGCAATGTCCTCGAGTCTGGTGTTCGTACTGGTGACATCGGTGGTAAGGCTACCACCAGCGAGGTTGGTGATGCTGTTGCCGCCGAGCTGGAGAAGTTGTTGAAGTAGGTTAATTGGGTTTGGCATGATGGGATGGGTGAAAAAGTATTGATTGCTGGGCGGGTGACCCGCATGAGATATGACTGGATCTAAATGATGAATATAATAATTACATTACTACTACTACCCATGCTACTCTCGTGATTGTTCTTACTGTTACTACTACGTATTAAGTATGGGGGAGAATGTATGACAGCTGCTGCGTGTATGACATATTGATGTATGTTGGAAAAGGAGGGGTATCTAAAACTCCGCGAAATGCTATCAATCGAGTGACACAATGAATGACTACTACCGAATGACAGGCTCGCCCATCCAATCCGGCTCCTCCAAACTCGTCACCACCTTGGAAACACCATCACGCTCCATATCCTCATGCGTACTGGCTCTCAATGAACGTCTGGCACTGTGTCTCCGGACACGACCATCCGCCGATGCAGACGGCGCATTCCCCACCCTCTTTCTCTCATCATCTCTCGCAAACACCTGGAACCCGCGTACATGCGTATCTTTGCCGTTTTGATGATTCTCAATGATTCGCATCTGAATGACCATGGCCTTGAGCACATTCCCCGCATACGGATCATCCTCATCGTCGTCATCGTCATAATCATCATCTTCTTCATCTTCATCCACATCAACGTCAGGATCCTCAAAGATAAACCCGCCCCTTCTCTTCCCCTTCCCCTTCCTCCTCCTCCCCAACTTCTTCTTCTTCTTCTTCCCTCCACCAGCACCACCAGAACCAGCACCACCTTGCCTCTGCGCACTAGTAGTAACCCACCCCCCACTCCTCCCTCCCACCCCCTCCAACTCCACATCAACCCACCCACACGGCCCCTCACCTTCCCAATTAGCAAACTCAACCAGATCATTCCCGCCCATGCCCGCCAGAAACGTCATCTTAGTAGGTGTATAACTCTCATCCATCTCGAAATCCAAATACACCCTGATGCGCACAATAGCCACCAGCTTGAAGAAGTGCAAAGTGAGGGTATGCGGCTGCGGACCATCGGATTGCCAGTACTGCATTGGAGACGGGTGACGGAGGGCAGTCACGCCGCAGCCCGGCTTATGAGTCGAGACGGTCCAGCTAGCTAGGGAGGAGATTTCGCGGAGGTTAGCGGGGAGGGGGGTGGGTGATTTCTCTGTACATAGATCGATCGAATGATTAGTTTATATGTTGAATAAGTGGGTGGGAAAGGGTACATACCGCGCTCATGTAGCATCTCCGACTCACTACCAGCCCCCGGCTCAATCTCCACATCCTCTTCATCCTCCTCGACCTGCTCATCATGTTCCACTTCTTCTTCGTCTTCTTCCTCGATATCAGAAGGCTCCGCCACATCCACATCATGAGCAGGAAGCATTCCGTCCTCCTCGGAGATAGACCGCTGGAACTGCCGCTGTCGGTGTCGGGTACGTTGATGGGCGATGGAACTGAGTGTTGTCTCATGGCTGAATCCGACCCCGTCATACTCTTCTGGAATGGCGTCCTCCTCTTCTTCTTCCTCGTCCTCAACATCCTCGTCGTCGTCCATCATCTGGTCCGCTGGGTGGTTGGGCGGACGGCCATGCACGCCTCGTCCGAAGAGGGAGAACAGGGCGGCCGTTGCGGCGGGGTTGTGCGCTGCATGCTGGCTGGGGTGGCTGTGGAGGGGATGATCGGGGTCAAAGGTTCCGGAGGAAGGGTGAAGAGTGGGAATGGAGAGGCCTTGGGACGGAGGGGTTTGGAATTGCGCGTGGTGGCCGAGGCGCGAGCGATTGGCGCGTTGGGGCGCCGGGGGTGGTTGTTGCGGTGCGTGGTGGGGGGTGGTGCTGTCGGAGGGGGAGGAGGTGTCTGGTGCGGGGTGTCGACGGAGGAGATGATGGTGACGCGGCATGTTGGATACAGTTTGGAAGCAAGTTATTGTGAATTGGCCATGATTCGTGGGGAGATTGAGAGTGTTTGTTGATGCTGGATGGAGAATGGATGGAAAGCTTCATGGATGGACCGCCGTTATCAGTCACGTGTTTCTTATCGGGTTATCGACGATCCAGTATGTAGATGAATAGGTTCAAAACAGTTTAATTATTAGATCAGCTAATAGCTGAGATGTACAGAAAAAGTGTATGATACATAAGCAAGCGCCTCGGATCTTCGTCCGGTGGTGCACAAATTGGTCTATATGGCTTTTTTTGGTGGTGAACTTCTGCCCGTATGTCACCCTCAGTGTTCAACGTCAACGAATCCGAGCTTCTCTCCCATCTTAATGCGCTGGCCCTTCTCAATGGTCCAGTTGAATCCTCCCTCGCGTCGGCCCTCTTCCCAGCCCGCGTCGAAGGACTTACGGGTGCCCACCGGCGCCTCGAACACCAACACGATTGAGCTACCAAGTTGGAATCCGCCCATTTCCTCACCACGCTGCAGAGGGTGACCTCCCAGGGTTTGGCTGGCGTGGAGGTAGGTAGCCTCAACGAATCCAGGGTACTGCTCACCACGCTTGGCCGCAGCGGCGGCTGCCATGTCGGCCGCGGTGTCCGTGGTGAGGCTGTTAGTACGCAGCTCAGCGTCAAAGTTCACCTTGATCGAGCCGACGTTCGTGGCACCCACGGGGGTGTAACTGAAGAAACCCCAACGCCAGCGGCCCAGCAGCACGACACGTTCATTGAGGGTGAAGAGGCCCGGCAGGTGGCGCTGCAGGTACGGGGACACCGAGAACAGTTCACCCGCAAAGTGACGACGGCTCTGCACCACCCACGGCACTGGCGAATGGAAGCGGTGGTAGTCACCCGGAGCAAGGTAGATCACGACATAGTAGAGAGCATTGTTGGACGTCGGCTTCGGGGCGTACCACGGCGCACCATCCCCACGAGCCAGGTCAGCCTTGACTT